TTTTGACCCATACAATGTATTGTTGGCTATTGCTACAAATATACCCCAGCGACTTAACACTGCTTTTGTGCTCCAGGGTCACATATAAGATATAGGATTGTCACATGAGCAAAAGTGCTGTTTTGCACTAAATATCAGCATGATTGCAAATGTGATTCAACATTAGCTTATTGATTTTATATAACAGTTCAGAGGTACATTTTGGGCACAATAGTTTCAATATTGTACTTTTTTTATTTTTTCCCCCAACTAAAACCATTCCAAAGCAAGCTGGCACTGAACCGGTGTGCATCCCAAAGCAACACACAGCTGTTTAAATATATTTTAAATAAACTAAAACCGGCATTCATTTAATAAGTTTAATTTCGTATATAAAAATAAATAAATAAATAAAAATCCAAACACTAATCTGAGATGGATGTCTTAAAAATATTTGGAATATTGTAATGCAGTTGTAATTGTAGTGTAAATACAAATTCTGATTCAGGTGCAGTGTCTGTGCCACTTCTGCAGTGCAAAGAAGGATTTTATTGATTTAATTTGATTGGTAACGGCCTATGGCATCTTATTAACTGAATTTAATGATTAAATGCAAGACATTTAAAGGTGATGCATACATCTAAGAAGGTCTGAAATCATAAACCGTGTTGGGCAAAGTTACTTTTAAAAGTAATTCGTTACAATGTTGTGTTAAAATGTTGTTACTCCATAAAGTAACTGTGTAATGCATTGTTACGGTTTTGTTACTTTTTGTCATCTGGACTGGACTTTCTTATTTGTTTTTTAGTAACAAAAACCCCAAAGTTATAGTTTTGGCAACTGTAAAGGCCCTTTCACACCAAAAGAGTAATGAATGATCCTCCGACTGAAGGAAGCGCCTCTGTCTCTGCTCTCGCTCCTGATTTCTCTCCGCACGGGACGGGTGGAGAAATGGGAAAACAGAGCAACTTCTGTTACTTATTTGAAAAAGTAACCGATATTTTGTTGTAAATTAATGCATTACTTTACTAGTTACTTTGAAAAAGTAATCTGATTATGTGACTTGCATTACTCCCAACACTGCTTATAAACAGCAAAAATACCCCTGGAGCTCAATTCAGTGCAGAAAATGGAACTAAACCAGCCAAGATACGAGCACAGAAGCAATAAGCAAAATGTCTAATTATTGTCAAAACCCTGTAAAATATTGGAATATAGCTTGTCGATATTGCTCGGGCCTAGTTGTCCGTGTAGTTGCTCTCGTTTGCAGTAGAGTGTCGATGAGATTATAGACGGCTGTTTGTTTGTCTGTTCCTGTTGTGTGTTAGATGAGTGATTATAAGACGCCCATCGTGCTGGACACAGGCTCCGGTCTGATGAAGGCTGGGTTTGCAGACCAGGACCTTCCAACTACAGTGTTCCCCACCGTCATCGGCCGTCCCAAATATGAGGTACACCCTCTCTCCTGCTTTACCTGAGTGTGGAGAAAGCAAATCTCAGCTGCTAGATTGTTTATGATGTCACACAATGTAACTATCACGGCTTTAATCCAATAAATATGACGAAGTTGTTATAAATGGCATGATTCTCTGTACAGCAGCTTTGGAAGTGTTTTGTGAAGAGTGCAAGTGAATTGGAGCCACTGTGAGTTTCCTCAGCGCTTCTGTTGGTCTGGTCTGTTGCAGGAAGTAATGAACGGCAGTGTGGACCGAGAGCTGTATGTGGGGCATGACGCGCAGCACATGAGAGGAGTGCTAGTCCTGAAGTATCCCATCAGAAACGGCATCGTGAGCAGCTGGGATGAGATGGAGATGGTGAGTCCTTTCACTGCACCGAAACAGGCAGGCAGTGTTTTTGGAGATTAGATGATCATTCTTTGACCGGAATGAAGGATTTTATCTGCCAGATTTCCTTAACCCTCGTGACACATTTGGGTGCATTTTGACCCAGAAGAGATACACAATTTAAAAAAAAGAAAAAAACAATGTTAGTAAGAAAAACAAAACTGATTTTTTTTTTTTTTTTTCCCCTCCAGATTTTTTTTTTTTTTTTTTTAACAATTAATTTAAGAGATATAACCCTTTTTAAAAACTTTGTTTCCTATTTGGGTCATCTTTTTCATCTGAAAGTGAAACTTTGAAATGTTTTCAAACAATTTCATTTTACTTGCAATAGAGTAATATTTAGGTTGCTTTATTTGGTTAAATATAAACATTCAGGTTTCATAAATTTAGACTTTTTTTTTGTTTGTTTTTTTTAGACAATCATGAGATAAATTCAAAGTAACGTAAAATTGCATTCAGTCCAAATGGTGGTACTCAGATTATTGTTCTTATAAATTTCAAACAGTGATGCATTCAAATACATTTTCTTAATATTGAAAAATATCTATAATTTTTTTTTACATCAAAAAGTTGTTAGTGCAGTAACATGGTAACATTCAAAACACAAGCACATCATGAATGTCATCTCACACGGTTTGCTCACAGATTCAGTGACAGTCACAGCAAACAGACTGGCTGTATTACACATTTATTCAAGCAGAACATCTCAATAGACAAACATGCAAGTTGTACAAATCTCTGTGTTTTCAGCTCATCGCATTTTTTCGTAATGTAGAGAGAGTGAGTGCACATCGTTGCCAGGTGGAGAACGTGAAGTAAAACATTGGACAGAAAATGTCTTAATTTACAGAAAAAAAGTTCTGATTGGGGGATTTAAACTCTTGACATCTGGCAACCGCAACCATGAATGCTTGTGGAGGCTCAATACCAGTGCAGGATAATGAAAACGACAAATTAAAGGATAAATAACTCTCACCGATGCTTATCCTTAAATGGCAAGAAGCAGAAATTGTTACCAGGATTAAAATGATTCATCAGGGCTGGTAAAATGACTGAAGACTGATCTGGGGCATAAACATAGACACTAGTCTTAAGAACTACAGACTCTTTGTTGGTGTGGCTCAGTGTGATGCTCGTGTGTGTGTGTGTGCGCTGTAGATCTGGCATCACTCGTTCCAGCAGCTGTGTGTGTCACCTGAGGATCATCCGGTGCTGTTGACCGAGGCCGCCATGAACCCGCTGCAGAACCGCCAGCGCTCGGTGGAGCTGATGTTTGAGGCCTTCAGCGTCCCGCTCGCCTTCGTGGCCCTGCAGGCCGTTCTGGCGCTCTACGCCTCGGGACGAACCACCGGTCAGTCGGCTCCGCTCACATGCCTATTACTGCTCTTTGTGTGGAGTAGTGTTCATTTTGGCAGCTGTTTTTAATTTAGTCTTAGTCTTGTCAAATGTAACTTTTAGTTTTTATCATGTGTGACCCTGAAACACAAAACCAGTCATAAGGGTAAATTTTTTTAAATTGATATTTGAATAAAAGCTGAATAATTAAGCTTTCCATTGATGTATGGTTTGTTAGGATAGGACAATATTTGACTGAGATACAACTATTTGAAAATCTGGAATCTGAGGGTGCAAAAAAATCTAAATATTGAGAAAATCATCTTTAAAGTTGTCCAAATGAAGTTCTTAGCAATGCATATTACTAATCAAAAATTACGTTTTGATTGTGTGTTCAGGGGTGGTGCTGGACTCTGGGGACGGCGTCAGTCACAGTGTTCCTGTGTTCGAGGGTTACTGTCTGCCTCACGCCGTGCAGCGCTTTGACTTGGCCGGATCCCACGTCACCCTGCAGCTCCAGAAGGTGCACAGGAGCACTGCTCATTACCATACCATAACTACTCATGCACCTCAATTAGGCCAACTGTAGGGCCAAAATCACTGACGCTTCATTAGCGTTTCTCCAGTGGTTGGTTTCAGTGCTGATGAAAGTTGCTTTTAAAAGTAATGCATTACAATATTGTTACTCCATAAAAAAGTAACTAATTGCATTACTTACTCTACATAAAAATTAACGCGTTGTTACTTTTGCAATACTTTGTCACATGGGTTGGGCTTGCTATTTGTTGTTTAATATAAAAAAACAAGTAATATTTTTGGTGACTATAAATGCCCTTTCACACCAAAAGTGAAATGAATAAGCCTCAGTCTGGAGGAAGTGCATGTGTACTCCACACTGAGACAGGAGTCTGTCAGTTAATGGGAAAACAGAGTAACTTGCGTTACTTATTTTAAAGCAACTCCGATATGTCTTTGTAAATTTGAAAGTGTTGCTTTACTAGTTACTTGACTGTGCTGAATTATATTGATTTCTCGTTTTGAATTGATCTTCATTTGGATGAACGGATCTTAGTCTATGCTGTTTGCTATTATTTAAAAGTGTCACAAAAACAAGTCAGCCACTCCGATTGTAGGAACTAGTGTTGTCACGGTACCAAAATGTCAGTATTCGGTACCAATACCAGTGAAAATCCACGGTTCTCGGTACCAATTTCGGTACCAAAGCAAAACACAAAAACATGCTAATTGAACAACATTTTTATTAATAACGTTAAACAAAAATTAAATGTACAAAACCAATGCCATTCTTTATACTTATTTAAAAGTGTTTCAAGTTTTTCCACAAGTAATAAAAGTATGAAAAAGTAAACAAGTTTCACCCAAAAGTTTAGTCATAGTTCTGCTGCCACTGAAAAACATCTGTAAACTGTTGTCTGTTTTAGGGTTTGCTGGTGTGTTTCAGGATCTTCCTCAGTCTGCAGCTGTAAAAGGAAAATATAATATACTTCAGTAAAGCAATGGGCTGAGTCTGACCAAATGCAACATTAGATCATTGACACCAGCTAAAATATAACTTTTCAGCCGGGTTGACCGGGTACTCGGTACCACCGGTACTTAAAAAAAACCTGGTACCGTAACGTTTTCATTTTTTTAGTACAGACTTGGTAACGAAATACCGGGTCTTTTGACAACACTAGTAGGAACATGTTAAGCACTGGCTTGTGTTTCCTGTAGCTGTTTGCACACAGCTGTTGATTGTGTTTTCGGTGCGCTGCAGCTGCTGCTGGAGCAGGGTGTGTGCATGCAGACGTCTGCCGAGCTGGAGATCGTGCGTGAGATGAAGGAGAGGTGCTGCTGTGTGGCGCTGGATTACGACGCAGAGCTGAAGAGCTCCTCAGAGGTGCACTACACGCTTCCTGACGGGCGGATCGTCTCGCTGGCCTCCGAACGCTTCCGGTAACTGAGCAGTGTCGTGTTGTGCTCTGGTGGAGAGTTCACTGCAGACCAGTGTCTGAAGCTCAGATTCTACGTGACACTGTTTTTCATGTTTAATACTGTAAAGCTGCTTGCTCTAAAGCAATTTAGGCCTGGTTTCACAGATGGGGCTTAGATATAGTTCAATTAGGACATTTAGGTAGCTTTTATACACATGCCTGAGGAAAAACAACATTGCCTTTGTCTTGATGTACACCAGTACTGACATACAGTGGGTACGGAAAGTATTCAGACCCCCTTAAATTTTTCACTCTTTGTTATATTGCAGCCATTTGCTAAAATCATTTAAGTTAATTTTTTTTCCTCATTAATGTACACACAGCACCCCACATTGACAGAAAAACACAGAATCGTTGACATTTTTGCAGATTTATTAAA